TTGGCATAATTCAATATTGTTGATAATGATAAAAAAATAATAATTATGATGATTATAATGATAAAATAAAGATAATAATAATGATAATAATCATGGGAATAATAACAACAAAAATATTCATAATAACTTTATAATTAACAATCATGATAATAGTAACATAAATAATAGTAATAAGAAACAGTCCTCCTTGCGACATGTAAAAAATATGTTACCGAGTATTAAAATATTCTCAAAGAGAGGTGATGCATACAACGGGTTTCGAATTCATCTTCTGAAGAAGATATAATCGAAACCAGACTCACACATTTCTTACATAGTGAAAATATTCATTTCACAATTTTTTTTTCGACCTTTTTTTCCCTCAAAAAAATTAAAATGTCGATAATAATAACAATTATAATAGAAGTGATAATAATAATCATAAACAACAAAACATCAGACCCAGAAAAGAAAAAAAAAAAATCTATGAAAATCTATAAAAAAAAACAAAAAAACATGCCATTAAAATAACCGAACTTCAATCAACCGAAAAAAATAACCGTAAAGCCAAGAATCAACAATTCAACCAAGGCAGGGGAAGCGACGGGAAGGTCAGAGATGGAAGCCCAGCCACACCAGAGTCGAGAGGAGTGGGAGGAGCATCGTGGGCGTGAGAGCATGGGCGTGATTGCACCCGTCCCAGTAGCACGTATCGTGACACACTTCGGGCACGTGTCCCCGGCTGGTACGCCCCTTCTTGCAGTCCCAGCCCATGTCTGAGGGCGCGCACGTACGCACGACCGATACCAGCTGGCCTGGAATTAAAAGGGTTGGTATTATAGAGTGAATGGTATGTAGGGTGGGGGCGGTATGGCGTTATGGTGGTGGGGTGGCATGGTGTTATGGTGGGGATGGTAGGGTGTTATGGTGATAGTGGTATGGTGTTCTAGTGGTTATGGTTGGTGGTGTGGTGGTGTGGTGGTATGGCGTTATTGTGGGGATGGTATGGTGTCATGGTAGTATGGTGGCCATGGTACAGTATTGGTACTTTGGTAGTAACGGTGAAGATATTCGTTCTTATTCATACATTTTCTGCGTAATGATATGGTGCTAGTGTTATGATGTTAAAGATACAATAAAAATGACATGATATGCTATTAATGCTATGATATTTGTTCGGTGGCATCTTGACCAATATCATTATGTTGACAATAATCCTCATGATAAAAATTATAATTTATACCATTCATAACAATCACAATTAAATAATGTTAAAGATTACCAAAGATTTTTTTTTCTTAAATTTTGTGACGTAGAATTAACAAATAAAAGCTTTTGTCATAATTGAACATTTTCCATTCCAATGCAAGGCTATGATTTCCAAGTGAAAATTAAATTGTAATAACGGTAATTATAACAATAATGACAGTAGTGATAATGAAATTGTCAATAAGGCTGATGATAATAAGGATGCTACGACTAGTAATAATAGTGATAATGATTATAGTAATGATGATGATGATGATAATTATAATGATAATTATGGTATTAATACTAATGATAATAGTAATAATAGAGATGATGATAATAATACTGATGATAATAATAATGATGATGATGATATTAATGATAATGATATCAGTAATAATAATGATGATGATAATAATAATGATAACAATAATAATGACAATAATGATAATATATAGTAGTAGTCGTAGTGGTAACAATAATAATAACACTAGCTACAACAACAACAATGGTAATAGTAATAGTGATGATGATGATAATAATAATAACAATAATAATAATGATAATAATAATAGTAATAATAATAATAATAATAATAACTATTATCATTATTATTATTATTATTATTATTATTATTATTATTATTATTATTATTTTTATTATTATGATCATGATAATACTACTAATAATAATGATCATGATAATAATAATAATAATGATAATGATAATAATATCAACAAAATAATAGTAACCGTAATAATGATAATGATGATGGAGTTAATTACGATAATGATAATAATAATAATAATGAAAATAGAAATGATGTTAATAATAATGATGATAAAAATGCTATTATGGTAAGAATAATGACAATATATTGATTTTGATTTTCATTACCATTATCATCCTTATTAAATCAACATCATTAGAGTAAGAATATTATCATTATTATTATTGTTATTATTATTACAAAAGCTTATTATCAGCATCATTACTACTACCATTATTGTTATTATCATTGTTATTATTGCCATTATAATCATTATCATTATTATTATTACATCATTGTCATCAATATTACTATCATCATCATCACCATCATTGTTATCATTATCACCATTATTTTTTATTATTATTATTATCGTTATTGTTATTATTATCATCATTATAGTCATTATTATCATTATTATAAAAAGACAAAAAAGAAAAACAGAAAAATAAGGAGAACAACAAAATAAACAAAAACAATAAGACAAAAACAACAGAAAACAAGCAAAATAAACAAAAAACATAAACCAAATCTAAGACAAAAAACACAAACAAAGACAACAAAAAACAAAAACAAAAAACATTAAAAACTAAGACAAAAACAACACAAACAAACATAAAACAAACAAAACAAACAAACAAACAAACTCACGAGTATCTTCTTCGGCGGGGATGTAGGTTCTCACAGTCATGCAGACAGTCATGGACCCGTTGCAAGGCTGGGGGGGCGGGGGGTTAGCGATGCAGGGGGGGTCAGGCGCGCCGGGGATGGAGTCAGCCTCGCATTGCACGCAGGAAATCCCGTGCACTGTGGGTTGGCAACAGTGTGTTACGTCGGGCGGAAGGAGAGATGTTGTTGTTGTTTTTTGTTTGTTGTGGTGTTGTTAGTGTTGTTGTTTTTTGTTTGGTGTGGTGTTGTTTGTGTTGATTTTTGTTAGCTGTGGTGGTGTTAATGTTGTTGTTATTAATACTAGTGCGGTTGTTGTTGGAGTGTTTGTGGTGTTGTTAGTGCTGTTGTTGGGGTGTTGTTGGTAAAGGTTGTGGTGTTGTTAGTGCTGTTGTTGGGGTGTTGTTGGTAAAGGTTGTGGTGTTGTTAGTGCTGCTGTTGGGGTGTTATTGGTAAAGGTTGTGGTGTTGTTAGTGCTGTTATTGGGGTGTTGTTGGAGTGTTTGTGGTGTTGTTAGTGCTGTTGTTGGGGTGTTGTTGGTAAAGGTTGTGGTGTTGTTAGTGCTGCTGTTGGGGTGTTGTTGGTAAAGGTTGTGGTGTTGTTAGTGCTGTTGTTGGGGTGTTGTTGGTAAAGGTTGTGGTGTTGTTAGTGCTGTTGTTGGGGTGTTGTTGGTAAAGGTTGTGGTGTTGTTAGTGCTGTTGTTGGGGTGTTGTTGGTAAAGGTTGTGGTGTTGTTAGTGCTGTTGTTGGGGTGTTGTTGGAGTGTTTGTGGTGTTGTTAGTGCTGTTGTTAGGGTGTTGTTGGTAAAGGTTGTGTTGTTGTTAGTGCTGGTGTCAGTGCTGTTGTTAGTATTGTCGTTAGACCTGTTGTTAGTTCTGTTGGTAGAACTGTTGTTACCGGTGCTGTTTGTGCTGCTTTTAGGGTGTTTGTGGCGATGTTACTGTTGTTATTGGTGTTGTTATTGGCGCTAGTGTGGTTCTTGTTGCTAGAGTTTTTGCTGTTGGGTGTTGTTATTGTTATTATTGTTAGTGGTGGTATTGGTGGTTGTGTTCTTGTTGTTGTTGTTATTGCTTTTGTTGGTGGTGTTGGTTGTGATGGCCGTGTTGTTATTGTGCTTTTGTTGTTAGTACCATTTCTAATATTATTTTCATTATCAATAATTATGATTACTATCATTATTATCATCTTAATTATCATTATCATTATCATCAAACAATTATTAATATTTCAAGGAATAACAAAAACAATATCTAGAACTTAAACAATAACATTAACAGTCATTTAGATCATTGTTTAGTTGAATCACTAATCGACTATAACAACATTTTTATAATTAAACAGTAAAAATGTCCTAAAAAATAAAATTAAAGGGCATATACTATGATGAGTTGCCATACCTATCCTAGAGGTGTTGTCATACCTTTTCTATGGTGTGTTATCCTGCCTTGCCTACAAGTGCCATGCCATAGCCTCCCGTAAGATTATTTGCCATAGTTTCCTTACAGATTTACTAATATGCCTTCTGTCCAAGTGTGAATTTCCTGCCCTTGTCAAAAATGTTGCCATACCTTCCCTATAGGTGTGTTGCCATACGTTACCTACAGAGGGTTTGCCATAACTTCCCTACAGATGCGATGTCATCTCTAAATTGCATATGTGTTGCCATACCTTCCCTACAGATGTTTTGTCATACCTAACCTACAGCCGTGTTGCCATACCTTCCCTATAGAGGTACTGCCATACCTTACCCACAAATGTGTTACCATATCTTCCCTACAAAAAAAGTTGTCATTTTTTCTATAAATGTATTGCCATATTTTACCCACAGATGTCTTGCCATATCTTCCCTACAGCTGTGTCGCCATACCGTCCCCACAGGTGCAATACCAATAGTTTCCCACACAGACCTATACGTTGCCCTACCTTCTCTACAGGTAGGACGACATTAATTGATCAGTTGCCAGTTGCCATACCTTCCGCCCAGGTGTTGACTTACCTTCCCTCAAGAGAGCGACGAACAGGATGGCAACGAGGGGACAGAAAGAGGGGAAACGGCGTAGAGTGAGAGAAGCCATGTTGGTGGTGATCTCTCCCTCTCTCTCTCTCTCTCCTTCTCTCTCTTTCTCTTTCTTCCTTCTCCTTATTTCTTCTTCTTTTTTCTCTCTCTTCTCCTTGTTCTCCTCCTTCTTGCTTCTCTCTCTTTCCCTTGTCTTTTTTTTTTTCTCTCTCAGCTTGTCTCCTTTCCCTTTCTTTTTTTTTCTTTTCCTCTTTTTCTCTTCTCTTTGTCTGTCTGTCTTCCTCTTTCTCTCTTCGTCTTCTCTCGTTCTACTGCGTTCTATCTGTTAAAAAAAGAAGGAAAAGAGAAAATGTAAAAAAAGATAGAAAAGGATAGAGAAAAATAGAAAAAAATAACCCAGATTTCTTATTTATTATTACTGTCTTGTTTATTATTATCTTATTTCTATTATCATCTCCCTTTCTTCTCTTTTAACCTCCTCCTCCTTTTCCTCTTCATCTTTTCCATATCTCACTTTTCTCCTGTTTCTTCTTTCTCTTCCTATTATTATTATTGTTATTGTTATCATCATTATCATTGTTGTTATGATTTTTATAAATGCTATTACTAATGGCACTATCATTATTATCTTTATCATTATCATCATCATTGTTGTTATTGTTATTATTCTTATTCTTATCATTTTTGTTATAATTATCATCATTAACATATTAATTTTTGCTATCATTATTATTATTATTATTGTCAACATTGTCATTATTATCATAATTTTAATTCTCCTCCTCCTCCTCCTCCTCCTCCTCTTCATCGTCTTCCCTCTTTATCTGCTCCTCCTTCTCTCTCTCCTTTTCCTCCCTCTTCTTATCTTCCCCCCCTTGCCCCTCCTCCTCCTTCTCTTCCTCCTTTCCCCCCTCCGTCTCACTCTCGTCCTTCTCTTCCTCCTCCTCTTCCTTCTCCTTCTCTTCCTATTCCTCCTCCTCCTCCACCTCTTCCTATTCCTCCTCCTCCTCCTCTTCCTCCACCCCCTCCTCCTCCTCCTTCTCCCCTTCCTCCTCCTCCTCCTCTTCTTCCTCCTCCTTCTCCTCCTCCTCCTCTTCTTCCTCCTCCTTCTCCTCCTCCTCCTCTTTCTCCCCTTCCTCCTCCTCCATCTCTTCTATTTCTTCTCCCTCTCCTTTCTCTCCTCCTCCTCCTCCTCTTCCTCCTCCTCCTCCCCTTCCTCCACCTCTTCCTCTTCCTCCTCCTCCTCCTCCTCCTCCTCCTCCTCCTCCTCCTCCTCTTTCTATCTCTTTTCCCTCTCCTTTCTCTCTTCATTCGAATTACATCCTCTTATAAGGCAGTCCTTGTCCATAGCTTCTAAGACCCGGTTGCCTTGATGTCAATTCTGTTTCACGGGATTTTCAGCCTTATGACACGCCCGCTGTAAGGCTTCTGCACCGGGACCATAATGCTTACTAATAACTGCTGGGGGATTATGTGACGTAAACTCGTATGTTTCTTTATGCGTGAGGTTTTATGTTTTTTTATTCTGTTTTATTTGTGCTTTTATTTACTTTTTTGGGGGGGTGGGGTGGGTGGGTGTTTTTTGGGAGTGGGGGTGGGGTGGGGGGTAAGCTTGGGGGATGAGAGGGGGGGTGAGGGGGTATTCAGTTCAGATTTATCCTTTTTTCTTTTGTTCGGTTTGTTTCGTTTTTTTAAATTCTGTTTTAATCTTGTTTTCTTTTGTTTTTTTGTTTATATGTATGTTTTCTTCTCTCTCTCTTTCTCTCTCTCTCTCTCTCTCTCTCTCTCTCTCTCTCTCTCTCTCTCTATATATATATATATATATATATATATATATATATATATATATATATATACATGCACACACGGTTTTGTGTGTGTGTGTGTGTGTGTGTGTGTGTGTGTGTGTGTGTGCATATGTACGTATATGTTCAACAAAACAGTAGTGTGTACACAAAGATGAATATAAAAATAGCCCCAAAATAAATTCGATTAATTTTTATTTCTTACTGTGGCTGTTTTCTTGTTCATGCATTCGTGTATCTATGTATACGTATGAGCAATTTTTCCTTATTTTCTAATCAATATACATATATATTTTTCTTTTCTTTTTCTTTTCTCTCTTTCTTTTTATATGTCGAAAGTATAGATTCATAGGTGCCTCTGTTTCAATAAAATTTGGTTACGACAAAGTTTAGAATTCGTGTCCTGAATAGTTTGCATATCCCTCTGTTACAACAAATTTGGATTTAACTGAACTGTTTACTCATGTCTGAGTCTGTCTCTCTCTCTCTCTCTCTCTCTCTCTCTCTCTCTCTCTCTCTCTCTCTCTCTCTCTCTCTCTCTCTCTCTCTCTCTCTCTCTCTCTCTCTCTCGCTCTCTTACTCTCCCTCATTCACCCTCCCCTTCTTCAATCTTTCTCTTTTCTCCCCACACCTCTCTTTCATACTCTCTCTCCCTCTCTCTCATTCTCATCACTCTCACTCTCTCTCTTTCTCTCTCTCTCTCTCTCTCTCTCTCTCTCTCTCTCTCTCTCTCTCTCTCTCTCTCTCTCTCTCTCTCTCTCTCTCTCTCTCTCTCTCTCTCTCTCTCTCTCTCTCTCTCTCTTACTCTCCCTCATTCACCCTCCCCTTCTTCAATCTTTCTCTTTTCTCTTGACCTCATAAACACCCTCATTAAAACCAAAATCTAGAACACGTAATGATAACAGATAACTATAATCATCTTCACATTATGATCACCTTTATTAAGATCAATTGTTTAGCCAGACCTCGTAAACTCCCTTATATTCCTCAAAGATTAGGTAAACAAGGTACTTAAAGGACTGATTATTGTTATGTGGGTTAGTGTTGAAATAGCTTTTACCCGCTTCACTCAGAATATTGTTCAAAATATCACTGAACGATACTTTTTAATGTTCAATACAGGAAAAATGTAACAGATATGTACTGGTATGAAAGTAATAAGTATGTATTATGTTAGGCCTATGACTCTCTATGCGAATCCTATGCTTCTAAACACTCTTAAAACATTTACGAAGTGCAACATCAAGTCTATGAGATATAAACACAACTCCCACATAACATACTAAAGGTTCTAACAGCGACGAAAGAACCAGACCTCCCTCCCTCATCTCACAATCCTGTTATCCGAACTAAGACCCACCACTGCATCATACCCTTACAGCTTCCACCCCAGAGCGCAGATTTCCCATGCTTTGCCAGACGAGATCAATTATGGAGTTACGCCAATCTGATACACTCCAATTCGGAAGGGAGAGCTGCAACTGTCCGGCCTATCCTCAGCTTTAGTGTCTATATTGACAAATCATACACGCACGTGCGCGAGTGCACACACACACTCATACACATTCACGCGTACACACACACTCACACACACATATACACAAACACACACACACATACACAGAAAGAGAGAGAGAGAGATAGATAGATAGATAGTTAGATAGATAGATAGATAGATAGAGAGAGAGAGAGAGAGAGAGAGAGAGAGAGAGAGAGAGAGAGAGAGAGAGAGAGAAGGGGGGGGGGGGGGGCAGGAGAGAGAGAACAGGAGAAAAAGAGAGATAGACAGACAGAGAGTGAGAGTGTGTGTGTGTGTGTGTGAGAGAGAGAGAGAGAGAGAGAGAGAGAGAGAGAGAGAGAGAGAGAGAGAGAGAGAGAGAGAGAGAGAGAGAGAGAGAGAGAGAGAGAGAGAGAGAGAACATATACACAAACGCACACACCAACTGTCCATCTAACCTAGACATCCACAAATTATCTCCAAGAAAAAAAAAAAAAACGATCTCCGAGGAAAGAAATGGGAAGCTTTAAAAAAAATGAAAATGAACAAATGAGATGATAAGAAGGAAGGACACAAAGAGAAAGAGAAAAAAAAAATCGAGGTGATCAGCGAGACAGCTAATAAAAGGAAGGACGTAATAAGAATCAGGGAGTGAAAGGCAGGACGATAATGTAGGAGATAAGGAGGAAGTGCGGTAGACATGGAACGAAGATAAAAAAAATAAAAAAAGGGCAAGGAGAAAAGGGTAAATGAGAGAGAGAGAGCAAGAGAGAGAGAGGGAGAGAGAGAGAGAGAGAGAGAGAGAGAGAGAGAGAGAGAGAGAGAGAGAGAGAGAGAGAGAGAGAGAGAGAGAGAGAGAGAGAGAGAGAGAGAGAGAGAGAGAGAGAGAGCGAGAGAGCGAGAAAGAGAAAGAGAGAGAGTGAGAGAGAGAGAGCGAGAGAGAGAGAGAGAGAGAGAGAGAGAGAGAGAGAGCAAAAGAGAGAGAGAGAGAGAGAGAGAGAGAGAGAGAGAGAGAGAGAGAGAGAGAGAGAGAGAGAGAGAGAGAGAGAGAGAGAGCGAGAGCGAGAAAGAGTAAGAGAGAGAGTGAGAGAGTGAGAGAGAGAGAGAGCGAGAGAGAGAGAGAGAGAGGAAAGAGAGAGAGAGAGAGCGGCAGACAGACAGAGAGAGAAAGAGGAAAGAGAGAGAGAGAGCGGCAGACAGACAGAGAATGAAAGGCAGGAAGACAATATAGGAGATAAGGAAGAAGTGCGATAGACAGGAAACGAAGAAGAAAAAAGAATTTAAAAAAATGCAAGGAGAAAAAGAAAGAAAGAAAAAAAGAAAGAAAATGATACACAGAATGACAAAGAAAACGAACATCGCAAACAAAGAAACAAGAACAAGAAATTGCTAGGAAAGAAAAACATAAAATAAAAAAAAAAAAAAAAAAATAGACACGATAACAAAGACAGAGAATAAAATCGCAAGCATATAAACGCACTCAAATAATACACGACGAAATAGGACGAAAACAAAAGAAGGATAAAGAAGGATAAAGGAAGAAATGTAATAATCAAGAGCAAAGAAATCCAAGGGTATTAGGATATTGGGGAGAGAGGAGAGGGAGAGGGAGAGGGAGAGGGAGAGGGAGAGGGGGAGGGAGAGGGAGAGGGAGAGGGAGAGGGAGAGGGAGAGGGAGAGGGGGAGGGAGAGGGAGAGGGAGAGGGAGAGGGAGAGGGAGAGGGAGAGGGAGAGGGAGAGGGGGAGGGAGAGGGAGAGGGAGAGGGGGAGGGAGAGGGAGAGGGAGAGGGGGAGGGAGAGGGAGAGGGAGAGGGAGAGGGGGAGGGAGAGGGAGAGGGAGAGGGAGAGGGGGAGGGAGAGGGAGAGGGAGAGGGGGAGGGAGAGGGAGAGGGAGAGGGGGAGGGAGAGGGAGAGGGAGAGGGAGAGGGAGAGGGGGAGGGAGAGGGAGAGGGAGAGGGGGAGGGAGAGGGAGAGGGGGAGGGAGAGGGAGAGGGAGAGGGGGAGGGAGAGGGAGAGGGG